GGCGAGGTTTTGTCTGTCGCCTTGTCTGACACAGTGACGTCGCGGAAGGTGGGCAGGGTCACACAGGAATCAAAATCCCACTATGCCTCCGGTAGATGTGGAAGATGTGGAAATTTGATGGCGGGCGAGGAAGGCAAGGCGGTTAGCTTCGCCGCTTTGCTTGTCGACTTGGAAGCCCGTTTTACTGATGCCCGCAGATGGATGGCAGATGGCAAATGCGGATGTTCACAAGTCTAAGGTAGGCAAGGCAGGATGGCAGGTAGGCATGGAAGGTCGACGGTAGGGAAGGTCCGCCCCCCCTCCTTACATAAACCCGCTTCTTGGAGGCGCTGGACCCCCTCGCTCTCACAGTCGCCGTTCAAGGAGCTTGGCCTTCCTGGCACCACACAGGTGAAAGGCCCCGGCGCTGGCGCTGGCACTGGCACTGGCTGGCCAATGTGACGGGGCCCCCCGCCCAGGGGGATGATCTGGGTCCTGGTCTGGGTCCTGGAAAGGCGGGGCGCGGAATGGCAAAGGCCTTTCCGCCCATGTCTTGCCTGATCGGGTTCGTGAGGGGCAGCAAGCAGCGCAAGCAGCAGCTCTGGATCCAAGGACGCCGAGCGCTGTACGCAGTACTGGCGCCTGGATGGCGCCTGTTGCGACAGACGCTTGTGCTGTTATGTTTCTATTGTCGCTGTTGTCTCTGCTCGTCGTCTCGCCGCCACGGTCATCACCTTACTTAAACGAAGCTTTGCAAGCCAGCCAACAAGAGCACTTCGGTCAAGGGCTGACGGTGATGACTTGAAAGGCGGTTTGGCGGATCCAGCGAACAGCAACCGCACCCGAGAAGAGGACCCAAGTCCACCCAGCGCGACCCAGGGATGTGAGCCGCCACGGCGACACCAGGGCCTCTTACTGGCCGCCGCATGCTGCATTCCGTTGCATCCAGTTGCATTTCACTCGCAGGGGCCCGGCATCCGCAGACAAGCCTCGCGACCTTGGTCGCGGGGCACACTGTTTCTGCTGCGAGACGAGGGGCGCTGTGTCGTCGTCTATGGTTTGGTCTGCGCCCTGTGACAACTCGACGCCGCTTGCTCGCCGCCTAGCCAGCTCGCCAAACCGTCTCATGAAACGAGACTGACATTGGCGGGCATACAGAGTGCCCCGCCAGCGCTCCGCCAGCGGCAGGCGTGGGCTGATAGTGGAAGAGCATAAATCTGTGTAAATTGGTAGACTGTATGGCAAACGTACATGAACTGACGTGAGCGAGCATTAGAGCAGGGTCAGCTTCTCTGGCTGAATACCTGTCTGTCTTACTGAGCTAAGTCACCTAGGCAAGTAAGGGCAGCATGAGGTGTTTGCATGCACGCGATGTTATCGCCCATGATCAAAGCCCAGAGAGCAAAATCGGCCCTATCCTGTTCCCTATCATGTTTATCTGCGGGGATGGACCTCGACCCTCTGATCCCCTTGAGGCCGTTTGGGGGTTGGTGAGTTCTGACCTTAACACGACACAGCTCAACAGTGAGTGCACGGGGGCCACGTCGTAGTGCAGAGCGAGTGCAGCTGATCGCTGCTGAACCCGGACGGCCGTGATCAGACGAGTCGGAGAGGCGATTGCTGTAGGAGGGGCTGGAGGCCAAGCAATCTCAATGCCCGACGACTCTGCATCTCTTGGGTGCTTGTCTGTCCGTGGTTCCACGACGCAATCGACAATGGACGAGAGGAAATGACGGCTCCAACGTCAGCACCGTCACTGGCCGCCCGAGCCATTACGGTGCCCCGCATCGATCCTGATCCATCTCATCGAGCACTTGATTCCTCCTGTCGGCACCATTCCCACTGGCCGAGCACGGCAGCGCGAACCGCCTTACCTAAACTCGTTGCCCAACTGGTACTCCCTCAGATGCAGCGAGAAGATCCCTCGAAATGCTGAGGTGGGTGTAGTGACGGTCTTGGCTGTTGGCTCAGGTGCTGGGCGGCATACAGTGAGCCTGTGAGCGAAGCACGGCTCCAGCACCCGGCGACAACACCGTCATCCGGCCATACCAGGATCGAGTCCATGCGGAGGCCGTGGCCCATCATGCTTTTCGTCCGAGGGAACCAGCGATCGCCAGAGTTGTCGAGTCAGAGTCGTATTCTGCTACGCAATTGCAAGCGCCCAGACTGGCGACTCGCGACTGGCGACTAGCAGGCGGCTGGTAAAGGGTGTGTTCGTGTTGGATTCAGTGGCTAAGCGCCCTCGGTATGTCGCTACCAGTGGTCGGCGCTTCGAGTTTCATGCCCTGTATTTTACCCTGTATTTTGCAGAGAGTGCCTGGGCTTGGTGCATTTTGCTTTGCATTTTGCTTCCGCGGCTAGTCGGCGGACCCACTTTAATTTTTGCTGGCGGAGAAGGCAACGAAATTTTTGGCAGTTCGGCGCATCCAAATTCGTCAAATTTCGAGATGAGCCTTGTGATTGTCTACACATCCGCCCGTGATTAATTTGATATGATCCTGTCTGCACGCCCGCTGCTTCCATTGGCTATGCACTCGTGAAGGAGGACAGGCAGAAACACAGAAACAGAAACAAGCGCAGCATGCCATCGATCGCGCCTGCAAAGGCCAGGATCGCCAAGCCTGTTGCCGATATCGACGTCGACGTCCATTCCAGTGACATTGACCAGTTAGATGGAGTCGATGGGGTTGATGTAGATGAGGTCGACGATGGGGCCTCGGAGTCAGACCCGGCGGGAAGCTCAGCATGGGAGCACGACGACCAGTCTGCCAGGTCAAACTCAGACTCAGATTCCGACTCTCTTGACTTCTCTGGTCCCAGGAAACGGCGCCGGACCTCTTCAGGAGCCCCTAGTAACCCAGAACCACAGCCCATTAAGTCGGCATTCAATGTCCCGTCACGCATAAGGCGTGGCCTGGAGAAGCAGGCTAAGAAGGACGACGCTGAGCCACTGGGTTTGGATCCCTTTGCGCGCATCACGGCTCCGATCCACAAAGACACCACATTTGGCTCGCTCGATGTTCAGCCATGGCTGGTCCAGGCCTTAGCCAACATGGCCATCAAGCGGCCCACCAGTATCCAGAAGGCCAGTATCCCCGAGATCATCAAGGGCCGGGACTGTATCGGCGGCAGCAGAACCGGTTCCGGAAAGACGGTTGCCTTTGCCGTCCCCATTCTTCAGCGGTGGGCTGAGAACCCGACCGCCATCTTTGCCCTGGTCCTCACGCCGACTCGGTATGTACTCCCCTGATGTGAATTTGGAAGCCCACATGTATTGACAATGAGATTAGGGAACTGGCACTTCAAATCTATGAGCAGTTCAAGGCCATCTCGGCGCCCCAGTCGCTCAAGATCATTCTTATCACTGGGGGCTCCGACATGCGGCCACAGGCCATTGCCCTGGCGCAGCGACCGCATGTCGTTATTGCCACCCCGGGCCGTCTAGCTGACCACATCCGGACATCGGGTGAGGACACGGTATGTGGTCTCAAGCGTGTCCGCTTCGTCGTCCTCGACGAGGCCGATCGGCTGCTTGCCGACAACGGCCCCGGAAGCATGCTCCCGGACGTTGAGGAGTGCTTCGGCGCCCTGCCTTCATCCACCGAGCGCCAGACGCTTCTCTTCACCGCCACCATGACCCCCGAGGTGCGCGCACTCAAGGACATGCCCCGGAAGCCAGGCCAGGAGCCCGTCTTTGTGTGCGAGATCGACACACAGAAGCTAGCCATCCCCGCGACACTAGGCCAATGGTTCCTCAAGCTGCCCGTCACCCACCGCGAGCACTACCTGCACGTATTCCTCCTCACGGCGGCCAACGTCGACAAGTCCGTCATCATCTTCTGCAACCGCACCTCGACAGCCGACTACCTGCACCATCTCCTCCGCCTGCTTGACCACCGCGTGACAGCACTGCACTCCAAACTGCCCCAGCGCCAGCGCATCGACAACCTCGGGCGGTTCCGCGCCTCGGCCGCGCGCATCCTGGTCGCCACCGACGTCGCCGCCCGCGGTCTCGACATCCCCGAGGTCAAGATGGTCATCAACTACGACATCCCGCGCGACCCGGACGACTACATCCACCGCGTTGGTCGTACGGCTCGTGCCGGGCGCAAGGGCGATGCGCTGACGATCATCGGACAGCGTGACGTCGACCTTGTCACAGCCATCGAGGCGCGTGTCGGCCGCAAGATGGAGCCCTGGCAGGAGGAGGGCGTCAATCTCGAGACGCGCGTCGCGCGCGAGGCGCTCAAGTTGGTGGGCGAGAAGAAGCGCGAGGCGCTGCTCGAGGTCGAGGAACAGAGGGAGGTTGGAGGCAAGAGGAAGAAGGGCAAGGAAAAGCTGCGGGCTACTTAAGCGGATACTGTGTAGCGGCTGCTGTTTGCTGTCAGCTTTGGCTAGCTGGTGGTTGGCGAGTTGTGTGGGCGGAGGGGAATAAACAAAATAAATATCAGGATACCCTGTTTGTGATGAATATTTTTTTTAAAAGTTGCTGCAAAGCAACTGGGCTGTATCTGGGGTCTCAATATTTTGGCATGTCTATACTCATGGTGTCTGTGACTGATGGTTTGTAAGGCATTCTACCTGTCGGACGATGGAAACCATAGCCCAAGCAGGGGGGGGGGGAACACCTAATACAAAGATTGAAGGAACTGGTATGGGATAGCCCCTTTTCCAAGTTACTAAGCCATTGGGTGCGTGCGAGATTTAGACTTGCTGCTGGAATATCCGACATGCCACCTCAGGGGTGAGTCTCGCATGTTGGTCCTCAGCTTCACTCACGCATGGGGACGTATTCGACCTCCCTCTTCACTCTTAACGTGATGTTCAATTATTTTCCCTTCGCTACCTGTTCTGTGTAAGAGCGATCGACGGCGCGGATTCCCACCACTACCCACTCGGGGGGAAGAGTCACCGGCTAATCTGCTGTCCATTGGAGCCAAGGTGGAGTCATCCCCTGCGCCCAAGTTACACATTCGCACTTTCCGGGCCAACTCCACACCCAACAAACCATCTCAGGATCCGGCTCAGTGGTCTAGTGGTATGATTCGTGCTTCGGGAAATAAACCATCCCATCGCTTGGAAACGAGTGATCAAAGCTTGTGCGAGGTCTCGGGTTCAATCCCCGACTCAGACCACCTAGATGTGTTTCTTTTTTTGGGGAGGGGGGGTCCTTTTAGTATAATCGATTGTTGTTGGAGCGGTGGACGACGCTCTGGGAGCTGGATCTCTCTCCCTTGTTCATACTGAAGAGGGCTCGGCTCTGTTAGAATATGGACGTGTTGGCTGGGACAGTCTGACGGGAAAGGGAATTAGGCGGAGTTGATTCTCTTTTGGTTCTTCTTGAAGGCGCATTTTCCAGACTTTGTGCGGCTGTAGATGGGCTTCGAAGAACACATCCAGAGCGCATGCATGTTACAGATCTATAAATTAGCTTCGTGGTTTTACAATTGCTCCGTGAGTTCGGTGTGAGTAGGGAATCTATGCAAGGGCAAGTCTGCCCATATTAAGTCGGAGGCAGCATTGTGTTCCTTCTGATACGGGAACAGTATCCATGGATTTGACAACTAGATAAGTAGATAGATAAGGGGATGGGTGGACAGTGAATGGCTTCCTCAAGGCCCTAGCGCCCACCTAGGCCTACATCTTGGGCCTGGCCAGGAACCATTCCTAACCTCCTCCACCTCTTCACCACCAATACACTCTACTTCATCAGATGCAGCACGATTGCCAGTATTTGCGTGATCTGAGTAAAGGTCATAATATAACCCTATTATCTTCATATGTACCAGTGGGCTCAGTAACCCCTGTGTTCTTCGGTCTCACCTTGCTCCTGAGCGTTACCATACCCAATCGAAATAACATAGGTCTAGCTCTCTACTAGTCAGTCAGGGGAACCACCGAGCAATTTCTATGCTCCCAGTAACCGCCATTGGGCTTTCTGCTCACCAACGCAACCTAGAACATATTTTTGGGCAACGTAGGTCCGGCATATCAATATCTACCTAAGTATGAGCCCTCGTCCGGGACAGGGGGCGGCCTCAATGTTCAACAGCAGATAGTCCCCCATAATGAAAGGTTTTGTAGGCAGTGATCTCGTGCAGGCGACTGCTGTGGCATCCTACCATGGGTAGGGTAGCGCAGTCTCACAAGCAAGAGTCTCGCATGCATGGCATGGGTACAGCTGCTTTCTCCCGATACAGACTGAAGAATGCCAAGTTCACAATTTATGACGACCATCAAACCAGGGGCAGTATACCTGGAATTCCACATTCGGTTCGGACCATTCCCAACATACCTCGCAGTCAGCAGAATCAAAACACCAATCAATCTCAACGAGACAATCCCCATCTCTCACGTGCCCTGCTAGACACCAGCGGGGGCCAGTCCTACACCAGTCTCCATCCGGCTTCACGAAATGGTGGTGTTTCATGGCTGTGTTATATGTGGGTATCGGTGGATAAGTCAGCCATGCAGACACCGCCCATATGATCTCAGGCACACCACATCTCGGCTCACGGCGCATTCCCCACCCTACACGTGTATCACCTCACCCAGCCCAGCCCAAGTGCTGACGGGCCCGGCTGGCTGGCTGGCTGGGTCCACGCCACCCCCTGTCCCCTGGGTAAGGTATACACTAGGCTGTGGGTGTAAGTGTCTGGAGTGGTGTTGTCATTTTGGTCATTCTGCTGTCCCGGGGCATCACAGTCAATGAGAAGCCGATATTGTGTCATCTCCATATAGTTGTTAGCTTTGCTGTGATGATGTCAGCTTGGAAGTTGAGGTTATGTCTTCCTGTTAGTCCAACCAGCAAGAGATTCGAAGACGGAGTTATCGTGAAAGCTGTGCCGGCCGTAAAAAGAGGTAACCTCCGTCAAGTAGTACCACTCTTGGACCATCAGACATACCTCCCAGCTACTCACAGCAACAAGACCAGCAAAAAGACATACAACACCAGGGATTCGCTGATCGTCACCGACCCAATTACTAGTCTGGCGGTCTTATCTATGGGATAGCGGACAGGATCCCGACTTCTCCAGTACCTATGGTCGTATGTGGCATTGCCGTCTCTCGGTCCCGTCTAGAGCGGAGGCCCGATGTTACCCGGGACATACAAGTAATAACCCTTTATTATCAGGTTTCCATGAGTTCGGATGGCTTGACATGCATGACATGATATCATCCTGAAATGGAGCTCCTGACTCCATCATCGTGGCGATGCAAGATTGCCGTAGGCGCTCCTGAGCAGCTGTGCGACACTGTGCTACAACACCACGCCTCGTCAAAACGGATGTGAGCAACTCCAAAGGAGAACACTAATTCCCGCAAACGGAATGCGTACTCGCTTCATTATAGAATATTTCACAAGCACGCAATAGTTTCGCAGCATGTCCCGAGATGCATGGCGTAGGGCAAAGGGCGCGCGTTGTAGGTGTTGGTTGACATCACGGGGCACTAGTACCAGCGTCTCTTAGCCAACGGGATGCGGTTTGAGATGGTGACTTGTGGCACCGCGAGCCGCTTGGCATCCCAAACCAATCCGGCTACCAGCCCGCTGGGACGACAGCAAAACACATGAACAACGGCGCCAATCCATGCCTCGACTGCTGATACGTCAATGTACGCTGGGCGTAGCGGCAATAAAGGGCAACGGGCCAGAAGAAAATTTCTTTTAGCACAGCCCCCGATATCTCCCGGCGTTGACTCGAACCGGGCCCCATTTACCTAACCGGGCGTGCCGGGCCCCGGCAGAGCGACCGCGACGGGGACCCACTCCGGCCCGCTCGTGTTCGCGCGTGCTCCGCCACTGCAATAACCCTAAACGCTCAATACTTTGGGACCACAACGGAATCGGACGGATGCGTGTATTATGTAAGGGGGGTATGTATGGTTTATGTTCAACGTTTGGGTAACGGAGCACGGCACCAGTCTAAGCCGCGGGATAGTCACGAGCCACAACATTGGCTGGCCATGTTGATATCTCTGCCCACGGTGAACCATGAGGAGTATGCCACGCTCTCACTCACGCTCGGCTCACACTCGTGCCATGTGTAGTCGTGCCATGTGTGGTCTGTTGTGTGTGTAGCGGCACTTGGGGATACACGTTGCCAAGTAGACGTATAATACGTATACGGGACCTGCTGGAGTCGTTAGGGCCTAGAACCGGAGGACATGGCTGAGATGGTGAGATGGTGCTGCTCCAAGCCACCACACATGGTATGAAGGTTTGATGGCTGCCTGAAGGCGAGGCGTGTCGATGCATCTTAAACACAATCTTAAATGCGACCTCCGATGCAGCTGCCACGAGACAACATGGTTGCTGAGGTAAAAAGCCACATGGACGAGCATCGCATCGGCGGCCGTGACAGCCATTCGAGGGGCTACCGACACCTCCTTCAAAGCCCCTTGACCCGATTAGGAGAAAAGTTGCAGTGGGGAACATATGCTGGGGACATGTATGAGGCTCATGGCCGAGTGGGTAGTGCGTGGTAGGAGGGGAGAGGGGGGGGGAAGAAGGGAGACCAAGGTGGAGGCTAAGATGGATAGATGCCGGTGGGTTGGGTGCTGAGAGGGACACGAACTGAGAAAACGGAGAGATGGGCCGATGAAATTGGCCATTGAGAGGCCCGAGTCTTCGGAAGGCGCATGGAGAAGAAGGCAAGGAAGGGTGCGGAAGACGCCAAGACGATGCATGGAAGGCGGCTAACGACCTTCTAGCGACCTTCTAGAAGGATTTCGGCAGTCCTTATCTCGCATCGTGAATTCTTGGCAAGCCATTAAAGCCTGCGTGCGGCCAAAAGGCGGGGAGAGGTAACGTTCGGATGATGAGTACGGAGGTCGTAGCCGATTGTCTCTCTCTTGCGCTGGCGTCATGACGTGCTCGGTGTCGCTTTGAGAAGAAGGAGACATGTCGGCAAAATTGGCGATGGGATCTATGCGGCCACCGCATCGGTCGGGGGCTTTGGCGATGAGTAAGTTGTGCGAAGGGGGGTGCCAAGGCACGCCGCGAGCCCTTTTCGTCGCCAGCTGGGAACTGACAAGTCCCGCTGTGGAACCCCGAGCGTTTGCGAGCCGGTCCGCGGGGACGGGGTGACGGGCCAGCTGCCAGCCCAGGCCAGACGGCAGGACAGGCAAGTAGGGAAGAATCGGCAGCCGATCGATGATTGATTCCCTCCTTTGTCTCCGGCCTGATTCGGTAAGCACGGACACCACACAGGCAGCATCTCCTGTGCATCTCAGGCTGCGGGATTAGTCAAGCCCGTCCTGATTGGCTGCCATGCGACGGCCGTCTGCGTTCGGTAGCGTTCCTTGCTATGAAATGTGCCCGGTACCAATCGCCGAGGGAAATGGTGCGAGAAGTGCCTGGATTACAAAACACCGTATGCACTTTATTTGGACACTTGCGATGCCAGACCGCTAGTGTGTAGGGCGCGGTCTGGGCGTCTGGGCATTTGCATTTCCAATGCTGCTGCTGTCGTTGAACCCTTGGCTGTTGCAGCCGTTACCGTGTTAACGTTTGCTCCCGACCGGGAACGGATTGGCAATTGAAAATCGAGGCCAGCTGCGATTGAGACACCTCCTGGGGCGTGGCTGAGCTGGGCCTCAACGAAACTGGATGCGAGGAAAGCGAGGAAACGAACTGCAACTCGATTGGGCCACGAATGCGGAGCGCTGGGCGTTGCTGGGAACAGCTGGAGCTGCTGGGTGCCTGAATATGCCTGAACGTGTGAGTGCTCCAGGGGCCATGCTAGGCTGCGACGGAAGAATGGAAGGGGACGGGAGAGAGAACGGGGTTATGTCAGCGAAAATTTCCGTTTCCGCGAGCTCCATCATCTCCATCAGCCTTATGGGAAGGAACGGACTCCGGGCCCCTTTCGCGTTCCGATTCTACGCACGGTACACCGCCAACGGGATTGCCAACGGGATTGGGAGATCAGCCACGGCTTGATTCATCGGCCGCAGCAGCAATAATACTCGCCGTGTGGGCGTCGCAGTGGTTGCAGGCTCGCATACTTCGCATAGCATACATACATACACCTGAAGAGTCATAACGGTAACCCCTAGAATATTAGGATCCTGGGGCCCTGCGGGAAATTAGGGGCCGTTCGGGCATTTTGAGGCCACGCGACCATCCTC